TCACCTGGGCAGCAGAGAAGGAGCTCTGCCCGGGGGAGAATGGGGCACAGCCCTAACATGTCTCCAGCACACTGCTCCCACCCCCACCATTACCAATGCTTCTTAAAAGAAAAGCCTGAGCACTCTGAAAATGTATATGTAAGCAAGCAAACCAGAAGGAATAATCTGGGCCCTGTGCCTTGTTAGTGCCCCCTTTTCACAGAAATGTATGCCAGCCATGCAAAGTGTGTTGGAAACAACCTTCCCTTCTTTTTGCTTTGTTCCTGCATGGTAGTCTTTTTTTTTTTTTCCCCTGAAGACATTTTCAGAAAGCTGATGGCCCACCTACATGAGAGCCAACACGTGTCTTTATGTAAGGTGAGAAAGCAGGTTCAAATACAGACTTCCAGGTGTAGTTTCCAAATAAGCGGGACTACAAGAGGTTTGACTGTCCCCAGGTCCTCAGCACATATTGCCCCCATGAATAAATTAAAAAATCTTTAGTGTCTCCTTTGTTAATGCAGTTCCCACTGGAAAAAGTCTTGTTTCTGTGCTCAATCGATCAATTATTTTTCTGAGAGAGTTGCCAGATCACAGGGGCAATTGAAGTATTATGTGTAACTTGAGATGTTTTCGTTTTCTTTTGATGTTTAAGGTGAAAAGGAAAGATGGAGTTGTATCATTTTAGCACTTTTTACATCTCTCTAAGGTAATTGATAAAAGTGATAAAAGTGATAAAGAAACAGTGGGAAACAGTGTTGTCCTACAAGTGTAGTAATGTTCTGTCCAGTATTTTTTCATAAAAATACAAACTATAATCAAGGTTATGAAATAGGTTTTTTCCATAATTTCTGTGTTTTCACTTAGTTATGCTTTTCTAGGTTTATTCTGTCCCCAAGCTTGCAGTGCCATCATTGTCATTCAGTGATGGGCTCAGAGAACCCTCTTCCCTCCTGAAAGCAAAACTCAAACTACCTCTTTTTTCACAAGTCTGGAGCTCGACTGAGCTCTGCTGCTGAACTCTGAAGCCTGTGAGGCCCTGCAGTGAGGATTATACACTTATCTCAATTAAGAAGGATTTAGCAGCATCGGGAGCATACAGAGATTATCTACTGAGCTCATGCAAAAAACTATGGCAATCTTTGGAAAAGGTGGTTTGCGAGGTTCCTCCCACAAAACCTGGAAATTCAGGGCAAGTGCTGGGTTTGCTGGTGGTCCTTGTGAAGTATATACAACCTGCCTACCTTTATTTATATGAAAGCATTTGTCTCGCATTCTGCTGTTTTTAGTAGAGATCTTGGATGTGGATTTATGATCGATTCAGATTTCCCAGCTACTTAGGTATTACATTCATAGCCACAGGCCTGATAACCAAACGGCTTAGGAAACCCCAGAATAGAAATTCATGCAGAAATACCAGAATTGGCAATGATGTTTGAGACGGTGTTTGTGCCTTTCCCTCTCAAAATATTAAGTTTTGTGTCCTTGAAGTATATCCATGTCAGTGATGAAACTAAAGAAATACAGAGACACCAAAAAGCCCCCACCTCTCTACAACATTAAGAACCATACTTCCATACTTCAATCCATGTGTTTGTTCTCCTTCTCTTTTCAATTGTATTTTAAAGAACAAAAAAGTCTATGACAGCAAATTATTTTTTCACTGTATTACTTACTGAAGCCAGGGAATTAAAAAATATCTAAGGTCATCCATCAAAAGCTGTGAGCTTTAGCTTAGACCACCAGCTGTAGTAACCTCATTGTTTGCACATTTCATATATTTACTCTGACTATACTCATGGATACTGTAAATATCATGGCAGTGCTACCTATAAACTAAATAAATTGTGAAATTTAAAGGTTAACTGCAATGAATGTTGCTTTTCCTCCTTTAAACAGCATGAACTAAGCATTTTCTGCCTGATGATTTATTTATTTATTTGTTTGTATCTGCCAGTTCTTGGTAAGAAACCACAAGGACTGCATGGAACCACTTTTTGTCTGAGAGGAGAAATATTTGAGCAATAGGTTCCCAATCATCTCTTTTCCCGTTCCCCAAATTTCCACCTTGCATTCTATGGGAGAGTAGCTGAGACAAGGAGTCTCTAGCATTTCTCTCTGTGGTTGCCACTGGGAAAATAGTCTTCCCTTTCCTGTCAGCTTGTGTGTGTATATTCTTGCCAGCTATTAACGAATATGCCCAAAAGACAAATATAGCTGTAATTAGCAACCCCCGCTAGTCATGACGAGGCTTGCTGTGTGTTGCACACCTGATCCACAAAGACACAGGTCTGTGTTTTACACCTCCTTTCCGGAGACACCCACACGTCCCAAACAAAAACACAAATCAGAATCTGTGGAAGGCTTGGCAGACAGGCTGTCAGAGATCCCAAATTCCTTAGAAGTGATAGCATAGTCCCAGGAAAAAATACACATCCAGCTCCTTCCCGCTCCCCGCTTCATGCCATCCCACAGGAGACAGTCATTTGCTTCAGCCAAAGTGGAATAATTCATTAAGAACTAATTTCTTTTAATGGTTAGGGGCTATAATTACTGGTCACTCTTCTTCCTGCTTTTTGTCAGAGGCTGTCTGGTTGTCCATGTCTTCATAGATGTCAGCTAGACAAGAAAGGGATCTTGGCACTAGAAGATCCATTGTTGTGTGGATGGGATTAATGAGTGACAGATAGCATGGTGCAGATATAACTTTACATGTCTGAAAACTGAAATCAAGCCCACAAGCAGCCTGGCATTTCTATGGCCCATCTACCTCCCCTTACTCCTGTGTTGTAAAATGGAAGTAAGTTTTTTGAGTTTTAACTCCAACTGATGAAAAAATAATAAAAAAAAAAAAACAAACCAACCCAAACCAAACCAAAATCCAACCAACAAACAAACTAAAACAAAAACCAAACAAACCCAGTAGAAAATAGCACAGCCAATTTATGGCAGTGTACTTAAATAGGAAAATGAATACTTAAATGTAACTTTTTTAGTATTCCAATTTGGGGAAAATGTCTCCCCTGTAGTTCTAATTTGGCCATGTTTAGTACTTTGAAATGGCTTTTTCCACTTTAAAAAAAGTATTTCCCATCTGCTTGACATATTGCTGCATATAATGATGGAATGCAAAGAAAAAAAATGTATGTTTACATGCAAAACATACCCCACATGCATATTTATATTAAGAGACAGAAAAATATTTTATTTATCTATGTATAACTTAACATTTTCAACATTTTATGTAAATAAATGCCAAATGGAGAATACTGTATTATACGTTAGTGGGCTACACTTCTTCAGTTCCATTTTTCAAATCTGGCTATGATTGCACTCAAGTACCTCAAACAGCAAACATCTGGGTGGTTTAAAAACAACTGGAGAGTGTTTTTGCTGTAAAACATATTATTACTGTAAATTTACAGATTCAAGATCTACTGTTGAAATTTTTGGTTCTGAGCAGCCTCAAACTGGATTTATAATAAATATGATAATTTTTCAGTATCAGTGGGGACACAGCCTTAATAATATTAATATCTAAGGTCTAACAAACTCTTTTATAATTAGAGTACAGTTTAACAGACATATGCATTAAGACTCTACCCTTGGAACCTTTCCAAGCAACTGCACTGCCATAGACAAAGCCTTCGTCCAATTTACGTGTTTGACACTTTGTACAATTGCATGACTATTTTCCATCTCTTAGCTCCAGATTTAGGACAGTTTATCTCTGATTCTCTTTTGTTTCTAGGTTTCAAAGTGCAATTTCCTGCAGAAATGAATATACTCATAATTCAGGTTGTCCACCCACCCACCCAGTTACCTGTCTCAGCTAGCCCAATTGCTGGAAGGAACGTATAAAGCAAGTTCATAGCTTGATGCTGGAGTGATATAATCTTTACTTAGTGTTTAAAAATGTAAATGTTAGCAGCTATCTCAAATACTAGAGCACTGCTCTCATGTAGGTTGTATACTCAAATGTGGCACAAAGCAGTAATTGTACTCTTGTGGGAGACTAAAAGTCTCCCAGTGTCTGAGACCTGGAAAATTGAAAGAGTAGTTTACATCTGCTAGGACCAAAGTGTTGCAACTGTATCTCAAACATTAGCAATTTGAAGCTCTAAAATCCCTAGGGCATATTATATGCTGTAACAATATCATTAAATATGTTGTATCATGCTAACAAAACAACCTATGCCTCCTTTTCCAGTCTCTTTTTTTCACCTTATAAAGAAATCCAGTCCATGAATATGTAATATTAGCTCTTATTCAAAACTACTCATTTTAAGAAACTAAATAAATTAACACGTGTGTTTGTAACATTGATTGCAGGCTTTCTTTTCCCCAACCATTTTAATAGCAATTCAAATATAAAGTTTGGCTCCTTCTTTGTGTTTAACTTGTTAAATCTACAGTTTGCTTATCAAGAACAAAAAGCAGCTGACACTTCCCACAGAAGGCAGTTCTGGGCTTTCTCAGTGGATCCACAGGAGCTGTCAAAGAAAGTGCAGCCCTGGTGTGCTGACTGCCCACACTGCTTGCCACTGATTCACTCCCTGGCTCTGCTTTGGCCGCTCCAGCCAGATCTTTCCTAGACAAACGTGATCTAATGTGGTCAAACACTAAGTGGTGTGGACACAAGCCAGGCTACTGATCCCCAGGCCTCTTTCATTTAGTGGTCAAGATGTAGTTCTTGGTTCCTCTGGGAGGATTTCTCAGCAAGCCAGGAACTATCAGAACTCAAGACTTGGCTACTCATCTTTCACAGGTCTGTGTCAATATGGCAAGACTGAATTCTCTTGTGCGATTGGTCTTCTCAAAGAGAGGAAAGAGATGTGCAGGAAGGGTGTGTAGCATTGTGTGTGCGTGTGCACGTGCACATCTCCCCCTCTCTTTGTTTAGATCTCTGGGCATCACTCCCATGTAACCTTTGTTCTGCTTATGAGCCCTTCTGTTCTTATTTTGGCAACACACAAATATTTACTCATGTTCATAAACAATCACCAATTCTATCTTTTCAGGTAAAACATCAAGAGAGCATGGCTCACCTGGGTGAACGTAAATGGACTCACGTGTTCCCTTTCCTGGTGGTAGGTATTTACATATGTACATGTCTCTCAAGTGTGCACATATAACAGGGTTCTGCTTGGGTTCTTCACAACCATCTGTGAATCGTCATGGCAGAACCACAGATGACCTAGGGACTGAAGCCCGATGGAGTGATCAGTTTTCATTTAATAAAACACCTGGGCATATGCTGCTTGAACTGTGGCTGCTAGGGAGGAGGGGGAAAGAGGAGGATCCAGGGTGGGGCAGAGACAGAAGGTGATGGAAGCACTGATTAGCCTGTGTGTCATATGAAGCACAGCCCTGTCATGGTTGAGGCCTAAGGCAGTGCATTATCTTAGGTTGATGTAGTTGTCCATTGCAGTCACTTTTATGAAGGCTCATTAGAGCTGGGGAGTGTGAGGGTGCAAACTCAGGCATTTCCTTCTGCAGGAGAGCACAAGAGTTAATAGGTCAGGAACCACAGCTTTCAGTATATTAATGAGAGGCTGTGCCAACAAGCATGAACATCAGTGCTCTGAGAAACTCTCAGAAGGACCAGGTTGCTGAAAAATGCATCTGCTTCCATTCCACATAGTGTTACCACTTCTACTTCTGAGCTTTAGGGGTGTTTCACACTGCAGTGCTGGCCCTGCTGTCTGCTGAGCAGCTGGTCAAGGGGAGGGGGTGAGGCATGGAGAAGGAAAGCAGTGGAAGTGACAGTGCTCTGGGATGCTCTCTGGTGACAGGTCTCCCTGGTGTACTCTGCCAGTGCTGAATACTCCAACTGCGGCGAGAATGAATACTACAACCAGACCACAGGCATGTGCCATGACTGCCCCAAGTGCGAGCCGGGTGAAGAACCTTACATGGTAATTGCAGCTTCCTTTGCTGGTGGGGGACACATATCGAGCACCAAATGTGAAAAACAAATGCTTTGCTACATGGTGGTAATATATGGATAGGAAAGAAAATGAGGAAGGACAGGAGTGCTTCAGCAGGAGCGCTCACACTTGCGAGTATGCCGTGGGAGAAAGGCATCATGCGTGCACGCCACTAATCCACGTGCCAGGAGCAGCCTCTTAAAAGTGATACTGTAAAAGTTCAAAGGTAGAAAGTTCCACACAGAGTCTCTGCCAGTCTGTTCTCTTCTCAATAGTTGTTTAAAATCTGATGCTGCTGTTCCGGCATGGTGTGATAAATCGGTTAGTCTGGCGTGCTTGCTGGCCCCCCACACCAGCAATTTAGTTTTGCTCTCCCGCTAAGATATTTTGGCACTAGAGGAACTTGGATGTTTCTGCAGCATTTTAAATTATGGTTCCTAAGTAACCATTTGATTTACAACAGATAATTGTTGCTTATTAAAAAAAATAAATTACTGAAATCCTGTTTGGTTTTAATGGGATAAACATCCTATTGCAAACATTTCACACAGTTGGTAGTCCTGAACAAGGACGTTTGAATAATAACCAGTTGGTTTTAGTTTTATGTAATCTAAACGTAATGTTCAGCTGAGACATGTGAGTTCAGAGGTTACAAAATCTCATCCAAACATTGCCTTTTGTGATGTTCCCTCTGGGCTCTCCTAGCATGGAAGCTGCTGATAGCCCTGCTGCAGCTGTGTTTCTCCTGTAGTAGTCTCCTCCACTCTTCCATTTTCAGTTCGCCTTCTATCTAAGCAGCAGCTGAAAGTCACTTCCACGATTTGCTGGGCTAAGATAGAAGTAGCTATGGGGGGCCACTTACAAGGAGTATGATGCTCCAGTTCTCCCTCTCCAGCACACAGCATGCTGCATCCTTATATCCCTGCATGGCCTTTTTAGGACAGACACTAATGGGCCAAAAAATAGACTTCTCTCTCTTTGTGCTGCAAAGCCAATGAACCAGGCTATGAACATTCTCTTTTGCTAGAAGTTGGTGTGCAGCACAAGACTGCTTTTCAGTGACTTTGTGTTGTTGCAGACATGTGGATATGGCACCAAAGACGAGGACTATGGCTGCATCCCCTGCCCTTCAGAGAAGTTTTCCAGAGGAGGTTACCAGATATGCAGACGGCATAAAGACTGTGAGGGTTTTTTTCGAGCCACAGTCATGACACCTGGTGATCAGGAGAATGATGCAGAGTGTGGTCCTTGTCTCCCAGGGTAAGGACTTATCCACAGAGCCTTTGCTATACCCAAGGCACTGGAAAATACTTTCTTTATGTCAAAGTCTCTTGACAGCCTTTCTTCATGTCCTCAGCTGACTGTAGGGGAAATTATGGTGAATTATGCTTTTTTGTCTCTGGTAAAACAATACATTCAAATGTTTCAAAAGCATTGGTGAGTTTAATAAATCATAGAATGGTTAGGGTTGGAAGGGACTCTAAAGAAGATATCGTTAATCTTACTGAAACCTCACTGAAGAAATAGCTGTTTGGAACAACTAGAAAACTTTTTCTCTTACTAGAAGTGGGAAGGGAACAAGCACAGGTGTGCAGTGCCATTTTAAATGCTCTAAGAAATCCAGCTCAGACTCCATCTGTAGCTTCAGAAGGCCACCTTCTAAGGCCTACATCCTGCATCCTACAAATGAGCTGCATGAAAATGCCTTGGATACCCTGTAGGGTCTGTGCAGGCTCCTATCGTGTGTTTGGGAGCATAAAATGCCTCTTCTCCAGATGTGACCAGCTGGCACATTTGTCAGCAGTTGACAGCATTTGCTAACATAGATGTTAGGTGAGATTTACCAAGGCATTTTAGTCTCTAAGGATCCTTTCTAGCCAACAGAAAAGGGCCTAAGGAACTGCTAATGTGGTGTGTATGTGCTGTTGTTCAGATTCAAAACAAGTTTCAGGGCTGGCTGAAGGGGCTTAAAATAGATAGTGTTTACTAAGTCCATCTTTGTAATGGTATTTTATGCTCGGTATAATTCTGATAGTAATGGTGACAAAGATACATTGGATATGTTAGCAGTATATTCTCATCTGTATTATATTTGAAAGTCTGCAAACCGAAGCATACATATGCACTCTCAACATTTTTTTTGCTAGGGTGAGTAAACTCTAAAGCACAATCTCACCTTACATACCTTTGCAGTTTCTGCCACTGTGCCACTTTGGTTTAGGGAGTAATTCCTACTGGCATTTGGCTATTGTGCAGTTTGCAGATTCTGGATAACCTACACTCCTTATAGCGCAGAGAACCCTGTTAAAGAGGCCCTGCAGGCTTCCAGGTTTATTATATCAGTGAGTCTGTGTGAAATTTTCACAGTTTACAAATAAAATGAAGGACTTGTCTAGCTGCCAGCCAAACAGACTGATGATGTGATTTGAAAAGAGCTCCCTCTTGACTTCCCCTCATACATCATAAAGAGCAAGAAACTTAAATAGTGGCCACAGTTGCTATTTTGCAATTTTTGTCAGGACTAATGAGGTCACACAGGTGGGAGTAGGGTGCTGGCTGAAAATAATCAGCTTGCACAGCTGGTGCTTGGGGAGAAATCTCAGAACATCGTGTTTGCACAGGTGTAGCCTGTAGCAGAAACTGGCCTGCCGGAATTTGGCTGTGTGCCGCTCCTGTGCAGCTCTCAGGTCCCGGGATTGTTTGGCAAAGCCAGCAGTTAGGAAGAAATACCCTCAGTCCAAGCTTGAATAGATGGAACTCTCAAGGTAAACTAAACATGGGCTAAAACCAGCTCTGAAGCTGCCCTGACTCCTCATGCTACTTAGAGTCCTCAGAGTTTGCTCCTGTGTGATGGTGGGGGAAATGCAGACCCCCTGTGTCAGAGCAGAGAGCTGGTGAGTAGCTCAGGCTGATCTCCTTATTGCCCCCGGTGTCACAGGGACAGCCAGGCACCAGGGTGAGTGGTAGCTGGCAGAGGGCTCCCTTGCCTGGGCAGTAAACCTAAAAGAGCCCCTGAGTCAATATGAGGGGGACAAAAAAAGGTTTCCAGTTTCAGAGGACTGCTTCCATAACGTGCTGCTGATCTTCCCAAAGTAACAGCCCGCATCTGCATTTAGGTACATCTCATTCCTTTGCTATATTTCACCAGCTCAGTAAAGCAGCCCGAGGAAAAGATGAACATATGGCACATTCTGAGCAAGAGTTTTCAGACAAAATACCACTGAACTGGCAGCCTTTTCCAGTGGCTACAAGTGTCATCCTTTATACTTCATCTTAAAATAAGTGCTGGATAATTATATATTTTCCTTCTGGGTTGGTTTTTTTGTTTGTTTGTTTGTTTGTTTTTCACTCTTATAATCAATTTTAGGGAAGAAAGAGACCTTTGGTACAAGAGAAGGAGTCATCCACTGCTTCTCTGTCTTCCCTCCAATATAAAATAAAAATAGCACTGTTACACTTACAAAAGGATGCAAGACTGTGGCCAGGAAAGATTTTAAGGGCTTAGCTCTGAAGCAGTGATCCTCAAAACCAAAGTCCAGTTGCCAGTGAACTCTAGAGGTACCTAGACTGAAGCTCCTGGGACATTGCAGGCTTTGTTCTCTGCTCCTGCCCAGAAGCTCTTCCATCATGCCAAATAGGACAGGTCAAGAATGTGGAAATTAGGTGTGAGTCAGACTATTTCCCTCAATGGGATGATCCATTAGGTGTTCCTGGAGTGTAATTGAGATCACAGCTAACTACAAGCAGCCACAGCAGGTCAGAGCAAGGGTCCCTTCAGCCTGGTCATCTGTCTTCTTTCAGTGGTTACCACTAGTTGAAACCCATGGAGGAGTAAGAACAGGCCAAGTACATAAGATACATATCCCTTATGCTGCCCCAGCACCTATTTTCATCTTGAATTAAGTCCCCAGTCTCCTCACAATGTAGAATTGCAATGGGATAATTTTCTTTCTAAATGTAGTCAGAGGTGCCTCTGCTGCTGAGGCTTTCCCTTTTCATGTGTTCCATACTGCCAGCAAATCCACATTCAATTCTCCTTTGGGAGATGTTTTAAGAGAAGCAGTGAACTCTCATTTGTATTCTGGATGAAAAGGTTTAGCCAGTGCATTTCTAATGAAATTAAGACTCCCCACACCTCCACCCCGTTCTGAATGAGGCAGCAGGTGCCTTCACCCATGTGCTCACCAACTTCTTGCTGTCTCTCCACAGACTGTCCCCTGCGGAGAATGGCACTCCCCTGCCCTCCTCCACCTCCTGCCCTAGTCCCAGGTGCCCTGGTCCCTGCAGGACAGCAGACCTAAACTTGGGTCCAGGTCCCTGAGTGTGACATGGCACCACCAAGGATAGCCCAAGATAAACCACCATGGTGCTAAGCAGGAAAACAAGTCCATTTTTCAGTCTAGCTTTTACTCTAAGGTTTTGCCTGTAACACTTTCAAACCTGAGCCTGGCAGGTGCCAAGGAAAGAAAGAATGAGTCTCATAGTGTAAGAGTAATACTGTGAAAATTCATTATTTCGTTACTGGGCCACTTCTTCTCCATAGTTAGTGACATAAAGTGATCAGATATGTCCGACCTTGCCTTTAATATCTGATGCACTGAAACGTAACCAGAAACACAAGTCTGTTGCCAGTGTTTCATGGGGGTGAATCACTAATGTTTGCAGCTGCAGAGTTTCCTACTCAAATGGGTCAACAGTTGCCTACCCTGAGCATCCTCTTTGATTTTCTTTATATGTGCTACACCATCCTGCATTGTGGTGAAACCCTAAAATTATTCCACCAGCTTGATTTAATTAACTGTTGGAAGGATTGTTTGCCTTTCCTAAACCACCACAGCTATTAGACTGTGGATCCTAACTGTCCTGTATTTTTCTTCATATATTTATATGTATCTTTGACATTCCACTCTTTTGTTTTGTGGTTTGGCGATCTTTTCCTGCTTATTTATTAGCTGCTTTACAACCTGATATTACATAGGCCCCCATAAGAGAGGAGGATGAAGTTTTGCTTGTGAGAGAAGGGCAGAGTGGCAGATGGGGCACAAGAGACATTTGAGGGGAGGAGTGAGGGTGCATCTTTTAAAACCAGTAAGAAATGAGGAACCATGTTCAGTTCACCTGCTCTCTGAGGTTCCTCCAGTCCCTGTATCTCCCTTGCATCTCTGTGTACTCCATTTGCTGGTGCTATATCCCCTATCTGGATCATTCATTAGTACACCAACTGATTTTGATGAACAGTTTCAGCAGTGATTTCCTAACAATACATACATTTTCCAGAAAAAAAAAAAAAACCAACCCAAAACTATACTGCACATGCATAGACAGGTACATACGAGCAGAAAACAGATTCCTCATTGTATAAAGTGTTTGTAATGTTGAGTACCTGTCTGCACAGAATGGATGATGAATTTATTCATCTCTTCATTAAGATCTGTAGTCATTTACAAGTGATTTGTAAAGACATATCCATAACATCAACTGTGTGATGTTACATCAACATATGTATGATTTTGATGCAATTTACTCATTAAGGTGCATGTGGATCCAACTCTTGCTTAGCCAATTACCTTATTCCAACACTAACTTTATTAGCAGCCCAGAGGTTCAAATCATGAAATTCAAATTCCTTCACACTGTAATTCCATTATCAAGGACTAACTTATAAACAATACAGCAAGGAGGTAAAAAAGCCCAAACCAAACCTGTAAAACCTAATCTGCTTTGCCTTGTAAGGGTGGTGATTTCCTGTATTTTTTATTATGATTTGGCTCAGGTTTGGTTCTAACATTACGGAGATTATTCATATGGTGTTTGTGAATAAAATCAGCCAACCATATCCAACTGGTGCTCTTGCTTGAAAGATTACTGCTTCAAAAAATAGCATTCCCATATTTTGAAAAATCTTATTTTGGGGCATGCTGTAAATTGCAGCTTGAGCTCAGCAGGGAGAATAAGGTTGTTTTAGGCAGTGTTACCACTTCTTGTCATGTCTCGATGTTTGATTAATTACCTTTCAGGAGGAAAGGAAGAATTGTCTCTATTCGGACGATTAAAAAAAAAATAATAATCTTTGCATCACATTGCTTATAAAAGTTTTTTCTTTTAATGATTTTATCTCCATATAATTGGTTGCTGCTGAACCATGCTCAGTTGTAGCATATTAATTTACACTGTTTTGCCTCATCTTGCCCTTCATTGCAGTTATTACATGCTGGAAAACAGACCTCGCAACATCTACGGGATGGTTTGCTACTCATGCTTGTTGGCGCCTCCTAACACCAAGGAATGTAAGTGTTCTGCCATTTCTATGCATTTCATCTGGTTTTGACTTTAAATCATCTGGTTTTGACTTACAATCATCTGCAAGCTCAATGTGAAGTCTTTCGGTGATGATAATTATGTTCAAACAATAAGCCCAGCTCCAGTAAAGCAATTTCTCCTTCTAACTAGCCTTGCCAGCAAAGGGAGGGAATGCTGATCATCTGAGGAGACATCAGAACCTTTGATTTAGGACCTGCTATTGTTCATTTGTGTGCCAGTTTTCATCTGTTAAGACATCCCATGCAGGATTTATTAGGCTTGATTAACCAGTAGGTGCAGGAAGTCTCATATCTGTGTATTTTTTAATTGACTTTCAGTTCACCCGAGAAGAAAACATGGAACAGTTTGTAGATCAAGTAGAAAGTGCACTGCCCCTTCTCACATCCTTTGGCTTCAAAGTGATTCAAGGGTTGATATTGCTGTGTGGTGGTCAGCACTGATAAGAGTTAATTCTGTAGATTTCATTGACAAAGAAGCTGTAGTTTGCTAATCGAAAAAGATCATGTATGTATGTGTGTGTGACACCCTAGAGGTACCTGTTCCTTTGCATGCCATGTGCATGTGTAATGGCATATCCAGCCTCATGCCATGGGGAGGAGGGACAGCCCTGCACCAGCTCTTTAATGCAGAGGCAACCCCCCAGAAAACTGCTTTCTCCTTTAGGGGGCAAAGAAAGTGAGAAAAAGAAAAAAAAAAAGGTTCTTTCTGAATGACCAGATTACTTCCACACCCCCTCAGAGAATCTGGAGAAGATCAGGAGAAAAAGCTTTAAAAAAGACCAAACCAGAAACCCAAACAATAAAAAAACCCAGACAAAACCTAGCAGTTCTCTCAAGAAACCTAATGCATCTAAACCCAAAATCCTGTCCATGTTCTGTACTTTTAGAAGTCTTTGCCATGAAAAGTAATTGCAATATTTTGCCTGCTTGATTTGAAAGGAGGAGTTGACATGAAAGTCCTTGAGCATTTATTTTTGTGTACATAAATAGCAATTATTCTGTTCAGATGCTGCTGAACTGTTTATCATTGGTGGTCTGCTAGTCACTTCAAAAGAGGATAGGTCATGAACAGCTACCACCTTTCCTAAAGTGCAAGAGGGCATAATGCTGGGGCATAATCACCACCTCACAGAGCTCCTGGTGAATGGTAGCAGTCCAGAAGGAGGTATCTCCCTGAGCTCTCTGCATGCAAAGTGGCAGGTCTGTTGTACAGCTGCTCACCCCACTTGGCTGCAGTAACCCAACCTGTCCTGAGACAGCAGGACTGGGTGAGGGCAGGGTGAGAGTGATTTTGATAAGATAACATCTGTATTAGGAGGTGAGGTAAGGGTGCCAGGGAGGACCCAGATGTGAGATATGGGAAGAAGGTGGAGAGGTAAGTCAAAACACAAGGGCAGGAATGTCGTGTTTTAACCCCAGCTGACAGTCCAGCCTCACAAAGCCACTCACTCTACCCACTGGCTAGGGAAGAGAATAGGAATGGTAAGAGTGAGAAAACTCGTGGGTTGAGACAAAAACAGTCTAATAAGTAAAGCAAAACCCACACACATCAGCAATGCAGTACAAGGAGTTCATTCCCCACTTCCCACAGGCAGGCAGGTATTCAGCCATACCCAGGAAATCTGGGCTACATCACACATAATGGTGAGCTGGGAACACAAACACCATCACTTTTTGAATGTGCCACCCTTCCTCGTTCTTCCCCCAACTTTATATGCTGAGCATGACACATATGGTGTGGGATATCCCTCTGATCAGTTGGGATCAACTGTCCTGGCTCCTTGTGCATACCCAGCCCCCTCACTGGTGGGATGAGGTGAGAGGCAGAAAAGGTGCTGCGTAAGCGCTGCTCAGCCGTGATGAAAGCATCCCTGAATTATCAACACCTTTTTGGTCACAAATCCAAACCACAGCCCCATACTAGCTACTATTAAGAAAATTATCTGTACTCCAGCCAAACTCAACACAGGGAGTCTTAGTGGGAGTTGAGGGTGTATGGTAAAAGGATGCAGATGCACCTGGCTGACCCACTGGTGGGAACAGAATTCTGCCTGCTGCTTGCCCATAGCTGGAAATTACTCCCTTCCTCAGCTCTGATTGTCTCAAACACATTCTGAAATGGGGTTTTAATAGTATCAGACATGTTGTAACTTAATGATTTGGCGAGGCAGAAGATCCTAGGGCTATTACTCAATTAAAAAAAAAAAAGTCTTTGTCTTTTGTAGGATATCTGACATATGTCAATATGACGATGTGTCATTTGTCCTTCTGTAAGGAAAGATGAATGGCCCAACTGATTACCCATGTGCAATTTTTTACTTGACAAACACAGAATAAATATATGTTATCTTTAGGAGGAATTTAGGCAGGGGCATAAACTGACAAATTGGGTATTAAGGTAGAAGAAAATATTAGGCCTAGAAAGACTAAAGATTTCCATTTTAATCAACTCCATGAAACCAACCATTTGATTACAAGAGTTAAAAAACCAGAAAAGCATCTTAAAATCCAAATCCCTCAAATCACTAAGCTCAGGTAATTTGGCTTATAATGTCTAAACCTCTGGACCCCATTTGGAATGGCCACTTCCCAATTCATAGGCATTAATTTGTACTCCGGATGGAAAATCAGCCTTGCTGCAGGAACCTCTTGTTGCTATGGCAGGCAGTGTAAAATCTGGTATTAGCAGATGATCTTTTTCACACATTTTACTGTCATCAGATTATACCAGTCAGAGCAGGGAAGAGATGGCATATCAGTAATGCACAACTGTGGAATTTTCTGAGGTTTGCAAATTACAAACTCATGTTACGTATGCTCTGAGCACATAACCTTAACACAAGCACGTGGTTTCTGTCATATGAAGGATAATACCAGCTTTTTGGTAGGAATGCTTCCTTTTTGCAGAACCACCTCTGATCTTTGACCGGCTGTCATGATGGAGGACCCAGAATGAAAACTTGAAATGGCCCCAGGAATCTTCTGTTCCTTTCTCGAGACTCCACAATAGCATTGAACAGCATTCAGGAACTTAAACCCCAAACTAAAGGGTTGCCTCTCCCTCAGAGATCCTATTCTGGAGAAAGGTGACCCAGCAGGTCACAAGGAAATGAGAACGCCAAATTACTTAAAAATAGGAAGCTCAGGGTGACAAGCTCTGGCTTTGCACTTCTAGACAGAAAAAAGAGAGCAGATAACTCCTGTTTCAGGCCTTTGCTAGTGCTGGAGAACAGTGGTGCTCTCCTTAGCTGAAAACAGTCCTTGCTGGGAAAGTGCTGGACCCGTGTGTTACAGAGGGCCAAGTCTGGGAGTGCGTACCCCTGCATGGAAACTTGCTCAGAGTGTTTGTCTGGCAATACATTTTATCTGGCAAAAAAGTATTTGGGTTTGATCAAGGGGTAAAAAAATGTCTTTCAACTCCAAGAGTGTGCTGTGCAACTTTCATCTCATATACAGTCAGTAAAACTTGAAATGGCAGAGGAAACAAGGTGAACACTCCATGCCCCAGCATCTGGAAACATTAGTGAAAAAATGACTGGGAATGAGGACTGAGAAAGAAATTCCTTGATGGGCCTGTGTCACCTTTTTTTTTTTTTTTTTTTTTGAGAAATAAATAGCACAAAATAGCATGGAAAGGAGGGGAAGGAAAGGGAGACACTTTTCAAAGGTGAGAGGTTTAATTGAGGCACTGGACTGAAGGACAGGAGCAACAGTTCTGCAACCTGGGACGAATAACAAACTTCAGCAACAGCTTGTGGGCACTGGGCACATACAGGATGTGTGTTGTGGAGCAAGAAAGCTTTTTCTTACTGGGAAAAGGGTAAACATCACCATAAAGACTACAGTTTTTCCTATCTTATGCACTGTGAAGCAGCTGTGTAAGATTTCTGGCCTCTCATGCAGTTCCCTCATGCAGTTCCCTCAAGTCTCCTGTGTAGGAACCTCTATGCTAAGCACAGAGGAGCACAATGCCAAAATGTCAAAGGTGTGACATTTCACTTCAGCTGTGCATGAAGCAGAGCAAGAGCTGTCAGTCCCCTGTGCTGACACTAAATTGGGATTTGATACCTCTGTGATAAATAACAGCACTGCAAGAGGCAGGGGAGGCAGATTTCCCATGGAAATCAAAGAATGAAGGTAATGAGCACCAAAACACTCTTAAGATGTGGCTTCCCACAGTTAATGGTGCTGAATTTTCTGTCAGCACCTCTGGAACTGGAGTCACTTCAGGCCGCTGACTATGTAGGGTGTTTTTGTTTTGGTTGTTTGGTTTTTTTTAATCCAGCGTAAGAGTATATGTAAAAGACAGAAGGTTTAACCATACATGAAGTTTCTCTGGCAGAGAGGTAGAGTTGCTGCTGGAAGAGATATTGTTTTTTAGCAGCTGAAACTCTCAATGAGTTTATCTCTACTAACTCCCTCTTTCTCTTCAAACTTTAATATCTGCCACTTCAGTTCAAAAATGCTGAAGGAAAACAAAATCAAATCCTGCTACAAAAACTTTAGGAACGTTTACTTTGCAGTTGGATTTACACAATTACATCAAATATGCCAATCCTTTTGCATTTACAAATTATTGATCCAAGGAACTTCAGCAATTGATTAAGGTTGGTTTTTTTTTTAATCTACTGTATATATTCATAGGTGTGTATAGGAATAAAATACTCTATTTTTTTATTTCACCTTTTTTGCTGGTTTTATATATGTAAACAATTACAAACCTGAGTAAGTTTTTAAGTCTCACATCTACCAGTGATGACTTGGGAAAATTAAAAAAAAAAAAAAAAAGGAAGAAGAAAACAAGAAAAACAATAAAGGAAAACATATGTGGTCAAGTTATTTTTTAATTACCAGAGAGCAAATGACATCTAGAAACAGAAAATATCATTTTTATTGTTGAATTATTAGAACTTCAAAAAGAACTAGACAATTGATGGCTTCGTGTGACGAGCTGACATCAGGGAGCA